AAAAAAAAAGAATAAAGAAGCGCGTTTGTTTGAGCTTTTGATGATCTTTTTAAAAGGGGGCGTGCAAATAGTCCGTGATTTCCATGAATGGGCTAGATCTAGTATTTCCCACCTCAGGTGGGCTTCAAACGAAGACATTATAGTCGCTGCAGCTTGCGATTGCGCGTCGATTAATCAGACTAGCGGCATAAATACGCGACAATCAACCTATCCTAATGCTGGCCAGCTGATCATCGCCTCCAAACTAATCATACATCGCGCAACCGCGCCGGCGCAGCGGCTCCGCTGGCTCCTCTGGCTCCACCAGATTTCGCCTGAGAGAGGACAATATCCTTGTTCGCATTGCCCATGAAATCTTTGCCGGGTTCAAGCTTTACCCATTACCTATTTTTTTTACCCAATTTTGATTTCGGAGAGCGATTCTTCGATGCTGCTAGGCGGATACTAGTGTCTGAGTAGTTTGGATCTCAATTTGACAAAGCCAAATTTTTCGCCTAACAAATTATATCAATCGTTATGTATATATCTAGGATGAAACATATATGCGGCGTATCGTTCGACCACTAGAAGCTCTCCTTGTTGAACACAAGCGAATTATTGTGAAGGATTCTTCGGTAGTTTTTTTCTTCGTGACTTTTTTTGCCCCTGTTTCTTTTTGCATTCATGTTGTCTTAGGTTAACGCCATCTGCTATGGAGCGAAGATTCTCTTACCTGGTGTTCTACGATATGATGACGGTATCGAGGTTGGGCAGGAGATCGTTGTTGTTACTACTAAAGGAGAAGCGATTTGTATAGGTAAGTTTCTTTTTTGATGCATGTATGATTTCCAAGCTACTGTAGTTTTATAGCCATTGCGCAAATGACAACATCAACGATGGCTTCAACGGACCATGGTGTAGTAGCTAAATCGAAACGAGTGATTATGGAACGTGATGTTTATGGGCGAAAATGGGGTCTAGGTCCAGTTGCTAGCAAAAAGAAGCAGATGATCAAGGTTTGCTATGCCAGAGCATTAAACTAACAGTATCAAAAATGCTATAGCTAGAAGCTAGGTAAGATGGCCACAATGCTCTTTTATAACCTGTTTAGGATGGGTTGTTGGACAAGTTTGGCCAACCTAACGACAAAACGCCATCGAATTGGAAGGTTGTTGATTACTCGGCAGAGGTGCCTAAGGTAAGTTAAACATTGGTAAATAGTCACTTGTGATTTTATGTTAGTTAAATTCCTTTTTCTCTTCTATCTATCACTCAGAAGCCCAGAAATTTTCTTCGAAGTAGGTCAATAAGAAGTATGCAGTAAGATGCCCTTCCAACAATCTTTCTATTTCAAAAAGTTGCTTTTCTCAAAGAATTTCATTTATAATTTGGCATTCTTGAATAGTAGTGGGAAAACCTGTTTAATTTATCCACTTCTGACTTTTTTGTGGAGTGAAATCAAAAACATTCTTATCAAAATGCTTAAAGTAAACATTTTTTTAAGGTAAAGAAGGAAGTTGAAGTTAAAAAAGAAGCTGAGGAAGCTGTTTCTCCACCAAAAGCGAAGAAGCAAAAGAAAAAGGAAACAAGTAGCTCTTCAGATTCTG